GTGTGTGTGTGTGTGTGTGTGTGTGTGTGTGTGTGTGTGTGTATGTATGTATGTATGTATATGCAATGGAATACTATTTAGTTTTAAAAAGGAAGGGAATCTTGTCATTTGCAACAACATAGATAAACCTGGAGGACATGATGTTAAGTGAAATGAGCCAGGTATAGAAAGATAAACACCATGTGATCTCACTTATATATGGAATCTGAAAAAGTCAGACTCATAGAAGTGGAGAGTAGAAGGTGGTTACCAGGGGTTGGGCGGGGGTGTTGGGGGAGATGGTCAGAGCATAAACATTCCAATTAGGAGGAATAAGTTTGATTTGGTTTTGGTTTTTTTGAGATCAAGTCTTGCTGTCACTTAGGCTGGAGTGTAGTGGTGAGATCATAGATCATGCAGCCTCAATTTCCCAGACACAAACTATCCTCCTGCCTCAGCTTCCTGAGTAGCTGAGACTGCAGGTGCATGCCACCACAGCCAGCTAATATTTTTTTAATTTTTAGTAGAGATGAGGTCTCACTATGTTGCCCAGGCTTGTCTTGAATTCCTGAGCTCAAGTGATCCTTCTACCTCGGCCTCCCAAAGTGTTGGGATTATAGGCCTGAGCCACTGTGCACCTCTTGAAATAAGTTTAAAACATCTACTGTGTATCATGGTGATCATAGTTAAGTACATATCATATACTTAAAAATTGCTGGCCAGGCATGGTCGCTCAAACCTGTAATCGCAGTGCTTTGGGAGGCTGAGGCAAGAAGATTCCTTGAGACCAGGAGTTTGAGACCAACTTGGGTAACATAGCGAGACCTGATTTCTACAAAATAAAAATAAAAAATTAGCTTGTCATGGTGGTGAACACCTGTAGTCCCAGCTATTGGGGAAGCTAAGGCTGCAGAATCACTTGAGCCCAGGAGTTGTAGTGAACTATGATTGTGTCACTGCATGCCAGCCTGGGCAACAGAGCTAGACCCTGTCTCAAAAAAAGAAAAAAAAAAAAAAAAAGAAAGAAAATTGCCGAGAGTAGATTTTAGGTGCTCATGCCACACAAAAGAATGATAAGTATTTGAGGTAATGCAAACACTAATGACTTGATTTAGCTATTCTACAATGTATACGCATTTCAAAACATCATACATTATAAATAAGTGTAATTTTTATTTATCGATTAAAGAGATTACCATTTTTACAAAGTGTTGAACTGTTAAACATTTTAAGGAATAATTGGGTCTTCAAAAAATAAATTCATTTGAAGACTAGATAACTAACCATCACCTACCTTAACTGTTAAGGGTCATGCTGTCACCAGCAAGGGTGTTGGTGGTCTTGCTCTAACCCAGTGACAGCTTTCTTTTCTTTTTTTGAGATGGGGTCTCACTCTGTTGCCCAGGTTGGAGTGCAAAGGCACAATCTTGGCTCCCTGCAAACTCTGCCTCTTGGGTTCAAGCGATTCTCATGCCTCAGCCTCCCTAGTAGCAAGGATTACAGGTGCCCACCACCATGCCTGGCTAATTTTTGTATTTTTAGTAGTGACGAGTTTCACCATGTTGGCCAGGGTGGTCTCGAAGTCTTGACCTCAAGTGATCTGCCTGACTTGGCCTCCCAAAGTGCTGGGATTACAGGCGTGAGCCACCCCACCCAGTTCCTGGTGACAGCTTTGGGAGCTGATTTTGCATTTTGTCATTTCAGGCAGGGCCTGGATCTTCTGGCTGATGTGTTTTCTATTTGAGAAGATGATGTGAGATAGTGTCACCACATAATATGTTTGAATCCAGAAGAATCCTCCCTGGCCTGAAATGAAAATTAACTGTTAGCAGCTGAATAGTGCAGCCCCTCGAGAGGCAGGAGGGTTTGGGGACTGGGCTCTGACGATTCCCAACAAACATAAAAACAAATTCCATATTAAAATCAAGCATAAACATGTATTCATCACAGCATTTATAAAAATTAATGTAAAAACAGAAAAAGATTTTAAAAATATATCACAGTACAGTTGAATAATCCAGCAGAAAGATTAAACTTGCCCTAAATCTCCAACCTTTAATAGTCCAGGCTTAATTTCAAAATGCTTTAGGTTTTAAACAGGAATCACCCTCCTGGGCTGGGTGCTGGGGCTCACACCCGTAATCTCACCACTTTGGGAGGCCAAGGAGGGTGAATCACCTGAGGTTGGGAATTTGAGACCAGCCTGGCTAGCATAGTGAAACTTTGTCTCTACTAAAAATACAAAAAAAGAAAAAAATTTAGCTGAGTGTGGTGGCACATGCCAGTAGTCCCAGCTACTGTGGAGGCTGAGTCAGGAGAATCGCTTGAACCCAGGAGGCGGAGGTTGTGGTGAGCCAAGACTGCGGCACTGCGCTCTAGCCTGGCGACAGAGTAAGACTCCATCTCAAAAAAAAAAAAAAAAAAAAAAAAAGAAAGAAAGAAATGACCCTCCTGTTTGGTTTAGGTTCTTGTAAAATGTAGAGAGGCATGTCTTTGCAAAAAATGTTTGCATGCTTTCTTTTGTCATCGTCCAGCATCTCTTCTGTTGCAAATGTTTTATTAGAAAGGATTTTCTCATCCTGTACAACAGCAACTTGGCTGAGAATTGACTGATGGAATAATCCTTTTCTTCCTTTCCATACTTCTTTGCCTTTATATTATATAAAAGAGCCTAGTCTTCTAGAAGCATGCTTCTCTTACCTCGAGCTTTGTAGAATATGTTTAATTAGATGTAAGTAGCACTAATACCCCTCTAAAAGTTCTCATTTGTGATCTGTGCTTGTAGAAGCTTAGTTATAGAAAACATCTCTTCTCTGAGAGTAATCAAGATTCAAGTACCAGTGAACAATCTTGGATCAGTAACCGAAAAAGGAAATCCCTAAAGTCATATGTTAATAGAAAGAAGACAAGAACCAGAAGTAGTCTAAGAAGTAAGTCTGGCACGTCTTCTTTTGAATCACTCTTCAAATAGCGATTTTCAAATCAGCAGGTATTTATTTTTCCATATATAATGGGAGTGGGTCCAAAGAAATACATGATCATAGGGCCAACTTTCCCAGCTACAGTTACATTGGAAAGGCAAAATGTATTGTGTACATGAAACGGAAGAACATGAAATTAACTAACAGTTGTTAAAGATGAGTTTTGTATAAATGGAGCAGAAATTCAGATAAGAGGACTCTGTCATGAGCTGGAATCATCAGGAAATCTTCAAGGAAGAGGTGGGTGGGACTTGAATTAATCCTTGGAAAAAAGAATAGGATGTAAAGAGGAGAAACGGAAGCATTCTTAGGTAGGTAAAGCTACAAGGACCTGCATGGTGGCTCATGACCGCAATCCCAGCCCTTTGGGAGGCCTAGGCAGGGGGATTGTTTGAGCCCAGGAGTTTGAGACCAGCTTGGGCAATGTGGTGAGACCCCATCTCTACAAAATTAAAACATGAGCTGAGCATGGTGGCATGCACCTGTGGTCCCAGCTACTCTGGAGACTGAGGCAGGAGGATTGCTTGAGACCAGGAGGTCAAGGCTGCAGTGAGCAGTGACCACGCCACTGCACTGTAGCCCAGGTGACAGAGTGAGACCCTGTCTCAAACAGAACAAACTACAAGGGCAAGGCAAGGATGTGAGGGTGATGTTCAGGGACAAGGTCTGGAGGAGAGACTTCATACCGAGTGGTAAGGAACTGAGTGGCCAGGAACAAGGTTGAATAATCAGGAAAGGATCTTAAGAATAGACATGGCCGGGCGCGGTGGCTCACACCTGTAATCTCGGCACTTTGGGAGGCTGAGAGGGTGGATCACAAGGTTAGGAGTTTGAGACCAGCCTGGCCAATATGGCAAAACCACATTTCTACTAAAAATGCAAAAATTAGCCGAGCATGGTAGCCTGTACTCCCAGCTACCTGGGAGACTGAGGCAGGAGAATCACTTGAACCTGGGAGGTAGAGATTGCAGGGAGTCATGATTATGACACTGCACTCCAGCCTGGGCAACAAAGCAAGACTCCGTCTCAAAAAACAAACAAACAAACAAAAAAAAAACTAGTACATGTTTGAGGAAGCTGTAGGAAGTGAGAATTGCTTTTAGCCTTAGTTAGCATGTTGAGAGAGGGAGAAGTGAATTTCTGTAGGCCGCATGAGTTAACGCATCTGTTGTTTACTTGTTTTCTTTCATTTTAGTCTTGCCAATTTTCCCTCCCAGTAGTAGCAGTGGCCATGAGAAAGACCAAGTAAGTACATTTTATCTGGGTTGCTGTGTGCCCTATGAGTTAAACTGCATTTATTTCTCCAAACACAACTTTCAGAAATATGAAAATAACAAAACATGGTTTACTGACATCTGAATCACTGCCAATAGAAACTGCAGTGACTTCTAAACATTTAATATGAATCTTGGGTAAGTATTTAGGGCCTTTTAGGCTGTGCATGGTGGCTCACGCTTGTAATCCCAGTACTTTGGGAGGCCAAGGGGAATGGATCACTTGAGCCTGGGAAGTTCGAGACCAGCCTGGGCAATGTGGTGAAACCCCACCTCTACAAAAAATACAAAATTTCCCAGGCCTGGTGGTGCATGCTTATAGTCCCAGCTACTCAGGAGGCTGAGGTGGGAGGATGGCTTAAGCATGGGAGGTGGGGGTTGCAGTGAGCCAAGTCTGCGCCGCTGCGCTCCAGCCTGGGTGACAGAATGAGACCCTGTCTGGAAAGAAAAAAAAGATTTAGGGTCTTTTTTTTTTTTTTTTTTTAATGTTCTCAAATGTAGCTGAAGGATGTTTATTATGAATAATGCTAAAAATCTGGGCTATTTCAATTTCCTGCAAATGTATACTCTTTCAAATTTATGTTTTTGATGTAAACTTGTTGGTTTAGTTCTTTCCTTAGTTTTTCTAAAGCTTTTAATGATTTAATTATTTAGACATTTATTTATTTTACTTTTTTGAGATGGAGTCCTACTCTGTCACCCAGGCTAGAGTGCGATGGTGAGATCTCAGCCCACTGCAACCTCCACCTCCCAGGCAAGCAATTCTTTTGTCTCAGCTCCCAAGTAGCTGGGATTACAGGCACATGCTGCCACGCCCGGCTAATTTTTTGTATGTTTAGTAGAGA